TTTTTTTTCAGCTACGGGTTCCCTTCCAATTTTAGTTGAACCCTTTTCCGGTCCCCGATAATTATGCATTTGTCTTTAATTTAAAATGAATAAAAATTGATTAACTTGCCGAAGATGTCGAAAATTCAGTACGTCTCACTTATTATTATCCATCACCAACTTTTAACAAAAATTCAAATAATAATTAATCAATCATTTCAAATGACTTTTTCGTACACCCGAGAATATCACCGCGCCTCCAGATGAACCGAATTCATCCTGGATGGACTCTTTCCAGCTGAAATTACATGCAGTCAACTTGATCTCCTTCAAGCTGACATCATTCTTTTTTTGTTCTTTATTAAAAAAAAAATTACAAAAGGTAGTTATTCAGATTCGGAGATCTGCTTATGCCAAGTCGAAGGTCATTTATATTGCGGCTTCCTCCCCACAAAAAATTACATTATGAAGGTATTTGCATCATTGTAATTATCTACGGGAAGATTATTTCTTCTATTTATTTATCCCCGGGAAGATTATCTCTTCTATTTATTTTTCCGCGAGAAGATTTATCCTCGGGAAAATCCATTTTCTTCACATATGAATTATCAAGCCTCAGGAACATTTATCCCTTTTATTTATTAGATGTATAACTTACTTTTTCTTTTTTTTATCAAAAAATATGGCACATTATAAAATACATAAATATTAGATCAATCCTCGAAATATCGTCCATCGTTTTCGATGACCTTGCCGCCATCGATCGGGCAATATACCAATGCCATCGCGAAAAAAACCTGCAGGGTTTAAAGCCATGAAGTCATCGACGAATTTTCGTACATCGTCCAGAGTTTGGACGCGGCTTTCCTCCAAGGCGTGCTGCATGGACCGGAACAGATGGTAATCGGGAGTGGCCAAGTCCGGTGAATAAGCCGCGTACGGGACAACCTCCTTGCCCAAGCATAAAATGGCTTTCTGAGTCGCACGAACAACATGAGGTCGAGCGTTATCATGGAGCAGCATGACTTTCCGGCTCCCTTGCCCAGTAAATGGCCTCTTCTCATTAAGTACCCCGCTTAATTTGTCCAATTGTCGACTGTAGCCTTCTGCAGTAACTATCTGACCTGGTTCCAAAATTCGTAATAGAATACACCCTTCATATCCCACCAGATATAGTGGAGAACCGTTTTCAAGCGAATTTTTTATTGGGGAGTGGATGTCGATGGTTGTCCGGGATTCACCCGTGACTTTTTGCATTTGGAATTAGCAAAAAATATCCATTTTTCATCTCCCGTCACAATTTTTGACAAAAATTTTTTCTTTTGGCATTTGGCGAGCAGCGAAAGACAAGTGTTCATGCGTTGATCGTGGTTATGTTCGGTCAGTTCATGTGGAACCCATCTTCCTACCTTTTGTATTTTTCCCATTGCGTTTAGAGACTGTTGCTTAAGTAACTCCTAGGTGATCTGCAAGCTCTTTTTGGGTTTGCGTTGAGTCTTTGTCGAGTAATTCTTGCAATTCAGCATCTTCAAATTTCCGAGAGTGTCTAGGACGTTCCCGGTCACTGAGATCGAAATCGCTATTTTTAAAGCGTCTATACCAATATTTACACGTATCATAAGACAATATTACTTCCAAGAGTAGAACAAATAGAAGAGCGGGCTTCAATGGCTTTTTTTTCCATGTTGGAACTCGTTGAGAATACAGTGCCAAATGTGTTGCGTATCGGTCGCCATCGTATATACTACTGTTTTGTGAAGTTATACAGCTCTTCCAGGCATGACACATAGCGTATTAAAAACTAAGGTTCACTCTCTAAAATCGCAAACCGGCGCGTAAATATTTAAATTTTAAATACGACACGGCACTCAATGAAAAAAAATGAAAGATCAACGTATACACCTAATATTTATCCTCGGCAAGACCTATTGCTTTTAATTATTTATCCCAGGAGAGATTACACTAATTTCAATTATTTATCCTCGAGAAGATGAGAAATGACCATGTATAATCTTGAAATACTTATCAGAAATCAATACCTGATGCAAATACTTTTATAGATTTCTATTCCTCTTTAACTTTTCTGAATTATTTTTAACAACTGATTCCTGTCGTTCCCAACATTTTCTTTCCAGTGAGAGTCCTCGATTTCCTGTCCATTCTTCTAAAGAATCTTGGAACACTACTGGACTTTTCGGACCTCATTGAGAAGTAGAAGTTTGCATCAAGATTAAATGAATCATTTCGAGACAAGCCTACTCTCTTCCTGTTATTTTCCATCTGGGTTTTTGAAAGAGAGATGGCTTTAAGGCCCCAGTTAATTGAAGTATCATTTCAGTTATGAAATACCTGAAATTTTCCTACAATGGCTTTTAACAGGCGTGTAGTTGTCGGGGCGACAACTTTTCAAGAGAGGGAGTAGTGTTGCCTATTTGTTCTATCTTGCCCTCTTAACCACATTCAAGTGTGATCGTCTTTCCGATCATCGTCATTCTTCTATCTTGATTCCTAATCCGCGGACGCATCACGTCTCTTTGTATCTCTTTTTCGCCGCAAATTCTTCTAATAAACATTTGCTTTTTAGAAAATGGCTCGTACTTTACAATATCGAAAAGTTACGGATGAAGAGATAGCTAACCGCATTAAATTTGATACAAATAACCGAAAAAACTTCAACATCAACCACTGAATAGTTCCTCCTCAGACATCACAATAGCAATTGCTAGATAAATATTGTTTACATTTTTTTCCAACATCCCTTGATATCTTTGGATAATTATCAAAAATGGAGATGAACCAGAACATAAATTGCATATTCAACTACCCATCAGCCAAATAATCTGGAATTCTCTACTGCAATCATTAACCAAGAAAAAGTTTGGGTTGGTTCTTACTGGGAAGTAGAAATTTTTGAAAAATACGAAGAAATGAAAAAGAGAGCCAAGTCAGCAATGTCAAATGAACGAACATAGTGCACAATCAGATTTCTAGGAGAAAAATAGTTTCAAATCGAATAAGGATTTCAAAAAAATTCTTCATGAAATAAAAAATTACTAGACGGAGGACCAACGTCCCTGGCGCGGATCAAAAGATGGCGGATTAGCTTGATACTAAACAGTGAGTTGAAAAACTCCGCGCCAAGAACGTTGGTCCTCCTTCTAGTAATTTTTTATTTCATGAAGAATTTTTTAAAAATCCGTATTCGATTTGAAACTATTCATCTCCTCGAAATCTGATTGTGCACTATGTTCGTTCATTTGACATTGCTGACTTGGCTCTCTTTTTCATTTCTTTGTATTTTTTAAAAATTTCTACTCCCCAGTAAGAACCAACCCAAACTTTTTCTTGGCGCTCTTTTTGTATAAAAATATTTGTTTTTGTTTTTTTAGAGAGATTTCATTATTTTTTTCAAAATAAGCAAGGAATCGTTTTGATATCCTATAATTTTTTTTATTTCCAATTCAATTCGGCTCATTCATTTTTCACACGATAGATCATCTTTCCAATTAACAATCGAAGCAAAACAAATAATTGTACTTCACAGTCATCATTTCCACTGACTTTTAATTGCTGATTCCAGATGTTCCGACTTAATTTGCTTCTTTCAGTATTTATTTATGCACGGAACTCAATTGAAAAATATCTGTGGAATTTATCGTTCATGCACCAAATTCAATTTGTAAATTCCCGGGCTCCCTCCTTGGTGTGTGTGGCTGTATTGCAGTGCTACCAGCTCCGTAACAAAAAAATTATAGGAGATAATGTGAAATGCGACAATGTGCAGGTGATCCCGTTGCTATGCGCGTAATTTTTTAAATATTGATTGGAATAAAAAAAATAGTTACATCAATGAGAAGCTGGTGGTCGATTTATATAATGTAACTAAGATTATTTTTCATGTATGTTGTCACATTTGCATTTTATTCAATAGATATGTGTCGGAGTAGTGGAGGAGGTAGTTGCTTCGTGTATAGATACACGGCAACGTTCGATCAGTTTTGTACAGTCAGAGTCAAAACTTTTTCTTGGCCGATACGCTGCCGCGCATCTCGATCATTCGAGTAATCACAAGAATCGTAAACATGATTGGGCATTGCCTGTATAATTGAAAGTTTTTCTTCCAGAGATTACTGATTAACGAATTACTTGTTATCCACTATAACAAAATTTTTTGAGTACAAAAATAACCAGTAGCCGGAGTTGTAATTATGCAAAAGCAATCATTACTGAGGATCTCTGACCAGTTGACACCACGCGTGACAAATCAATCATGTTACACGGACTGGCACGAATCGTCACAGCAATTGTTAGTTCATAATTGCAGCCCTGATCAATTGTAATTCTGTATATTTTATTCTGTCGACTTTTCGACAATTTTTTCTTCAACAACAATGATATTCCTCATCACATTTCGCACAAGAAACATATTCAGGTGCGGGATATGTACAATAGAAAATAAATCGACTCGTTCAGAATAGGCATATCATTTGTGGAAATGATGTGATGATGCGCAATTTCACATCTTTTTCGGCTGTATTTTTGAAACTATTCATCAGACGGGAAAACGTTTCCTTTAGACAATTTTATATCGAACAATTTTGAATTAAAGTATTCATGTGGTAGAACTGACAATTTCCCCAAAAAATGTGAAAAACCGGAAAATTGATTTTCTATTATTTAAGCGTTTACATCACATTCGGAAAAGCTTACTCATTGTTATCATCCCGGTGACAAAAGATACCGGGATGATAACAATGATTGTCAGTTCTAAGGTGGTAGAACTGACAATTTCCACAGAAAATGTGAAAAACCAGAAAATTGATTTTCTATTATTTAAACTATTACATCACATTCGGAAAAGCTTCCCCATTGTTATCATCCCGGTGACAAAAGATACTATGGTAGCATATGAACATTAATGTCGAACCCAAGAGAATGACATAGTAAAAACCTTGATCCGAATCATTTGGTACATGTGTGAAATTAAATACTTTGACGTTCATTGAGAACTATTCTTGTAGTTGGGGCCCGAAAAGGGAGTGATACATCTAGCAACTGCAGCGGTTGTCAACGCCCTGTGGGATTTGTGGGCAAAATCCAAAGGTGTCCCAGTATGGAAGCTGCTTGTGGATTTAACGCCTGAGCAGTTGGTTTCTACAATCGACTTTAAATACATGTAAATACTCCACTTTAATTTTGTACATTTTTTCGCTTCCGAATGAAATCTTCGTAATCGTGCGTTTCAGTTCATCTTCTAATTTCAGTGGAAAATGATGTAGAATTTAATGGAAGGTTAAGATATATTGTTTTTTGTAAATTGGTGTGTGTACAGTACCACCTCGTTTATCGGGCCTTCGAATCAACTTAGTCTCCGCGTTATCCCAGCCGACTTACTTGCTCGAATAACACGGAAAAAGGTGGATAAAATGGATGGAGCCACACAGCCTTGTTACATGTTTTGTGCGCACTTCGGTTGGGAGCTAAAAATTAACAGTTGGCCTTCCACAATCAATGAATGAACACTGCCATGTCGCAAAACAGGAAAAAAGTCGTCGTTGTGATTAAATTTCATTTTACCATTTCAAATACATGAAGAATGGTTGAAGTTTTTGAATTTGTTATGTCTTTCGTGTTATCCGAGTTTTCACTTATGCGAAGTAACCTTTCCCCACATTATCGGATAAACGAGGTTGTTCTGTATGTCCGGATATCTGTGGGGATTTTTCAGAATTTTTTTATAAATCTCCACGAAAAAACAGTAAAGTTCAAGGTAAAAGCATTTTTGTGATACCTGCCTGAAAAGTGCACTTCTCGAAATGGTTCAGTGCACTTAAAGCAGTTGTTTACTGCACGGCGTGCCTGAAGTTCCGTTTCCACTTTGTCTCGAGTCCTGGAGGAGATGTCTCCGTGGACCGTTCTAAAATTGAAACTGGAGGTCCTCTCGTTTAGTAACTCATCCCTGACCATGAGAATCCAGTTAATCATGCTGTTCGTCCCCTTTCGAAGAAAAAACATGGCATTTCTATATGCAATCCCTTCACCTCCATTATTTCTAGATGAAATAACCCATGAAGCTAACCTAATCCTGTAAAGACTTGAATTTGTTTCCATAATACAACACCTATCCCATCACTTACAAGGAACACTTGGTAGGTGTCCGCCCCCTGATTTTGATGAAACTTGAATATGTTGTAGAGGACTCAAAACTAAGTGCCACGTATTTTTTTTATTGGCCCATACGCGAATTTAGGGGGTGAAACTGCCCTCTGAATTTGACCAACTCCCGGAGTATTTCTTCAATTGCGCACATAGGGAGAATATTTAGACAATTTTTTTACAATATAGCAGAAAGCTCATAGAAAATGATTAAGATAGAAATTGAAATCATCCCCGAGGGGTGAAATTTCGGGCATAAACTACCCCCGTGAAAAGTCATTTATTCAATAAAAAAATATATATCGCTCCGAATTTCATGAAAACAATTTCATTTGAAAGTGCATAAAAAAATACAAAAAAACTTTTTTTGCATTCTTCTTTAAATTGCAATTTAAAGGCAAAAGAAGATCAATTTTCTGGAATTGGCCCACTTTGAAATTTTTTGCAGTATAAAAAAAAGCTCATCGGGATGATGAGAAAAAGCATTGGAATCGTCTCCGGAGGATGAAGTTTGGGGGTCAAACTATCCCCGCGAAGCGTCAGCTTCCCCATGAAAAAACTATTGCCCGAAATTTTATGGAATGATTCCGATTTGAAAAAGCATGAAAAAAACACGCGATGTCTCTTTTGGATCTTTCCTGGAAAAAATTCGGCCAGTGGTGTAGAATAGAATGAATTGAAAATAACTTTCAAACGAGATGATCTTACGACCCTGATGTTTATATTGTTTGTGAAAAGATTTTAATAAGGACGTAAGATAATGACATTGTCGCGATAATTCAAATCCACATCAGAACAGTATGTCAGAGTTATAAAAATATCTATTCGAATATCATCTGTCTTGTTTAAAAATAACATCGCGGTGATAAATATGCACGGCTTACAATATCGGTGTTTTACGTTTTAATTCTTCATGCAAACACAATCACAATCAGTTTACAAGTGTCCATCAACGAAAACAGTCTCTCCGTGGATATCGTGTTTCTGTGCCCATTTCATAATGAAAGTTAATCCAATCAACGTTATCAGACTTCTCATGACAACATTTGAAGTTCTCAATCTTGCTGAAATGCCTGTGAATAATGAGGAACGCGAATTAGCGGATGCCTTCCAAAGGATATTAATTCAATCCATGGAAGAATACAATGGCGTTGAAATTATTGAAGAAACATCTTTAGATTTTCAAGAGCCCTATAAAGATATAGAAATGATGGCGGTCGAGGATGAAGAATTTCAACCACATACCAAAGAATCATCTAAAAGTTGTTTAGAGGATAAGGTATCCGTAGATTTCGACTATAAGAAGAGAGCAGTTAAGTTCTGGAGAAGTGCAAAAACAAAGGAAAACCTTTCTGTTAAAACTGTTGCACATCGATTTAAAAAGGTGAAATCGATAGTTACGATGCTGGGCGCAGCAAATAAGTAAAGGAGGAACATATATGGAGAAGTTGAAACGTATTTCGGAGAACACATTGAAAAACATGAAGAATGCTATTGATGTGGGATTAATCGTTCACGATACTGATGTACGAAGGTGGGCTCTGCAAGCCCAGAAAGAAATCGGATTCAAATACGTTCATTTCACACATAGTTACATGATAGAACCCACCATTTCTGCTGATGGTAAATTAGTATCACCTCTCTTTCTGGTTTTGAAAGAACCTTCCGGAACTTTTGGCCCAATGCTGGAACACAATCTTTTTTGACCATCCAATGTTTTCGTCACGGCTTCAAAATCGGGGAAACTTACTTCAAGTGAGATGATATTCAAGACATAAGAGGCTATGATATTTTCAATACAATAATTGGTATTATTAAAAAGTACTTGATTTTTTAGAGCATTTTAAAACCTGGTTGAAGGAAGTATTTTTTTCCGAATGTAGGACCTACAAATCTACTGTTGATAGATTCGTGGAGCGGGCACTGTCCTCAAGCGCTACAAGAAGGAACTCCTCCAAATGAACAATTATTAACTATGTTGATATAAAGGGTACTACTGAAAAAATTCACCCCCTTGATGTATATGGTTTCAGAATCTGGAAAAATTATTTCCATCATTTTTCGGATACTGTTGTCCTCCTTGACTATGATCTTAATTTACACTTGAGGAGTAATACACATAATAAAGTTACAGTCTTTAGTCCATAATCAATTATCATCACCAAGGTATCAAAATTTATTTCGCTACGCTTGGTTTCAAAGTGGTTATATTGTTAAAAAAACCTGATGAATTTGAAAAACCTATCGATTTTGCATTTGGACAATCGTCTCATCCACACTGTGACATTAAAGGCTGTTCCAATGTTGCAGTAGTAAGATGCTCTTGATGCAAAAATCACTTTGCACCATTTTTTTGATGAATGCCATTTCTGTACGAATTATGATCCTTAAATTAAGCTAAATAAAAACGTCATATGTCAAAAAACTGAATTATCCGACCGTCAACAAGACTGGTAATTTCTATTCTAAATCCCATCATACAGTGATTATTATAATCATTGCATTTCGTTAGCAATGTTTCATTGCAGCATAATTGTAGCAGTACATTCCAAACACTGACAATAATGTTTGGAATGTGACTACCTTTGGATTATTTTAATTGATAGTTACTAGGAGGGGTAAAAACAAACATTATTGTCAGTGTTTGGAATGTACTGCTACATTTATGCTATATTTATGCCACATATATGCTACGTTGCCAATTCCAGGAAATTGATCTTCTTTTGCCTTTAAATTGCAATTTTAAAAAGAATGCAAAAAAAGGTATTTTGTGTTTTTTTATGCACTTTCCAATGAAATTGGTTTCATGAAATTCGCAGCGATATATTTTTTTTTATTGAATTAATGACTTTTCACAGGGGTAGTTTACATTCGAAATTTCACCCCTCGGAGATGATTTCAATTTCTATCTTAATCATTTTCCATGAGCTTCCTGTTATACTGCAAAAAATATGTTTAAATATTCTCCCTTTGTGCGCAATTGAAGAAATACCCCGCGAGGTGGTCAACTTCAGAGGACAGTTTCACCCCCTAAACCCGCGTATGGGCTGATAAAAAAAAATACGTGGCACTTAGTTTTGAGTCCTCTATAACATATTCAAGTTTCATCAAAATCGGGGGGCGGACACCTACCTAGTGTTCCTTGTTAGGCAGGTATGGGGTTTATAAAATACCACTGGAGAAAGCAATTGCACCCATCACCACAACAGGTTACTCACAAGGATAGCGACGCTCCAATAAATGCAGTATGGTAATAAACTCCCTTACTATCTAACAAAGAGAGGCTGGCTGATATCAGAAACCGATAACATCCAGTCTTCATGTATTTGAAGGGTGTCACTAGTGGTGCCCCTCACTAAAGACCTAGAGGCAGATGCTCAAAAATAAGGGAGATATTTTGTGCGAAAGATTTGGGCCCAGCATACGTATAAGTTGCCAACACTTAGTTTTCGGTAGAACGGTTTTGCCGACTGAAATGGTTTTTTTATTGGTCTTTCATAACTTCAGGTTCAGAGGTACACTTTTTTAGGTGATAATTATCATAGAAATATACAAAACACGAATTTATGTGACGTCGACTGCAACAGACGAAAGCAGTCTCATTGCACGCATAGCAGGTTTGCAGATTTTCAAGTGGGAAAAATACTTCGTCCACGTTTGAAAAAATGCGTCTTTCGTCGTTCAATTTCAATGCAAACCACACGTATTGAATCATCTCTCAAAATGTGAGCGCAGATAATTAATAATGTAAGAGCGAATGGATTTTGATCGTATCTTCAAATGAGATGAGATGAGATTTCATGCTTATGTTTGATCAGATGAGAAAAATTTTGACGTTTTGTAAAAAAATTTGCAACTTGAGAAAGTTGAGTGCATTTCGAAAGAATAATAGTTACTGTGCGCATCGACAATTGATCTTTATCGGAAAATAATTCATCGTAAATTAGTGGATTCGTTTGCCTTTCCTAAGAATCAACTATTGATAAGAACTGTGTTGCAAGTTCACCTGATTTCGAGCAA